GGTGACTTGGGACGGGTCGTGACACGAGGTCCCTTTGGATTTGAATTCATGGAATATTATAGTTCGTATAATTTAGTGTACATGGAATAGATACATGCACGTGAATAAATCTACAAAGTACAAATAAATGTTAATTAATTATTATTATACATGCATGTTAATAATATGTAGTAGGGCTATAATGGTCAAATTGATTATAGGGCTATAATGGTCTAAAAAATTGATTCTCATTTCATGTGATATTTAGATATATTATAGATAATATTTCTCTTCAAATGACCAAAACGAATCTAACATCCTCTTTGGGCTCCATTTTATTCAAAATGCATGCTTTTCTCTCTCTCTCTCTCTCTCTTTTTTTTTTTTTTCTTTCTTTTTTCAATTTCTCATTTTTCAATAAAATAATATTATACGTAAATTCTAAAAGCTTCATTTTTTAATCACACATTCTTTAAAAAAATAAGTATTCCAAATTACATTTTTTCGCAAAATTTAATTTTAATAGAAGCCAAATGGAAATGTCTTTTAAAAGCCATTCCACCAAAAGAACAATTTTGTCTTGCTTTCTATTATCCTGAAAAGAGGAGGAAAGTGTATAGCGGAATAAAGATTGAGAATCAAACATAATTAATTAATATAGTACAATTTATAAGTGGAAATGTCTTTTCTGTTAACAAATTTTTGAAAATAAAAAAGTGAGACCTTTAATACAACTTCGACAACCCACTTTATATTTATTGTTAGAAGATTAGTTTTGTTATTTTTCTTGTTAGGTTAATGATAATATTGACATTTGCTTGTAGAGCTATTTAAATCCTCGTATCTCTTTTTCTCAAGACTAATTTTCGTTTTTTGAAACAGTAGCTCACTCTCATTGTCGAGGCGAAGATTTTTTAGGTGGACTAGGATCCCGTGATTTTTTACCCCCTGAATGGATATATTTTCTAACTGAAAACTTGATTGTATTCTCTTCTTGATGCCAGCGCACAAGGAAAAACAAATCAATTTTTAGTGTTAAAAATAAAGATGTCGATTTGATATACCCCTTTAACAACATTCAATTAACGAATGTTGCATTTTGCGTGTTGCAAAATGTCATTTTTGTTATAACGTATGATTATAAGAATTTTTTAAAAGATTTGACCGAGTTCCCCTTGTAATATCAATATGCACTAAACCTACCTGAAAAGAAATAAATTTTCCCAAACATACAGATGATGTGAAATGTGGAACACATGTCCCTCTAAATATGTAGTAATCAAAATAAAATAAAAAGTCACAAATGCACAAAATATGTATAATACGTAGCTAGCCCATTAGACTAATACATATAACTCCAAATGACTTAATGTAGTAAATATGTCCTCAAAAAGAAATTAAGATTTGCATGAACTCACAAAATGAGTCATACAATTGATTATGATTTGTGGTTCGACTCGATAGATCAATCGACTGCAATTGCTGCTCAATTTAGCTACTATCTACTAAGGAAAATATTAGAATCCCACATTGTTTGGGAAAATATAAATGATCCCCTTAATAAGGTGAGGGCAATCCTCCCCTAATAAGCCGATTTTATTAGGTGGAGTGAGGCTCAATATTCCTAACAATTTTAATCCACACCAAACATGTATTTAGTTTAGGATGGGAGGATTTTTAATTGCGTCCAGTTCTTACGAAGAACAATAATTCTATTTCATGTTTGGATAGGAATTAGACTCGTCTATTGATATTAAGAATAATTATTATGTATTATCACTTAAAGAAATATACTATCGAAATGAAATATTTATAATAGAATCGANCAATATCGATTTGTTCACAGTTGTTTGGCATGGTCCACGCTGTGCGTGAGGGGGCGTATTAGAATCCCACATTGCTTGGGAAAATATAAATGATCCACTTAATAAGGTGAGGGCAATCCTCCCCTAATAAGCCAGTTTTATTAGGTGGAGTTAGGCTCAATATTCCTAACGGAAAATGATGACATAATATATGAGCTTACAACTCAATGAGTTGACAGTTTACAAAGAAGTATATTTTTTTCCATTTATACATTTGTACTGAAGAATCTTATTATATTACAACTTTAAGAAATTCAAAATTCTGATAATGGGATAATAAAATCATTTATTCTTTATTCTAAATAATCCAACTGTAAAGTGTTTTGAATTTAAGTAATCTAATATGAATGAGAAATTGAGTAAAACTGTCATTTCACGGTAAGTTGAAATATTTATTATGTAAACAGAGTAACTGAAATTTGTAATTTGAAATGTGATAAACTATAATAATACAAAAAATTACATGAAAAGGTACCTGAAATAACCATATTCATATATCGATTAATATCGATGTACACGACAAGGTTATTCATAATATGAAAATTCTTCTGAAATGCCATAATTTCGAAATTCTGGATTTTGATCATACCCTTGCAGAGTTGTCCAAATGCTACAATTAATCTGATGATACACTATGAAAACAAATTCACAGTGTAGGACAAGTAAAATAACCATATTAGGTTATACATTATGAAAACATATTCATATTAGTGTAGAGGAGGTAAAATAACCATATCATGTCATATATTGTGGAAATACTTTCACACTAGTGTAGACTAGTATAAAATCACACGAGTACTTTTTGGTGATTTTAAAACTAATTTTAAATACACTGAAATGTTTAATGTCGACGTAATATACTAATGAAATGATTTAACTGAGTATGTTTACCTTTAAAAGGAACTAATTTATAAGAATTCATTTTATTTTGAAAATCATGCTATCTAACTCAATTATCTGAAATAAGTAACTTTTGCCACTAATATGATTTACATCAAGCACTATAACAAATAAACATTTCATATAAGATTTAAAACTAATATAAAAATAAGTGTTTACTTCTGAAGAAGTAATTTTTTTACTCACATAATTGATTGCAGGGAACTAGTTGGGTAGGTACAATTTTCCCACTTCTACACCGGCTCTTGAAATGATCGCTCGAGATTGTAGAAGAAATGAGGATATTAAAGAAAATCCAACACTTGAAGAAGTGTATATCACCTCCTACACTTCGTTGGTCGCAGGGGCGGAGCCCAGTATGGTCCAGTGTGGACACAGGCCCACACTGAACTTCTGGGCTAGAATTTTTGGCTCGAATTTTTTTTTTAGTTATACCCGGCTCCAGCATCCAAGGCCCATCCCAACCATTTTTCTCCTTCCCACCCAGGCCTAGACAGGTAGACAGCTCCATTCCATTCCATTTCACTCCCCAAATCGCCAAATCCCACCATCTTCTCCTGTTCTTCATTTGCGTAGCCGCAGCCAGGCAGTCTCCGAGAGTCGAGACTTTGTACCGTGAGTCCGTGACCCGTCTGCTCCAAAACCTCCACTTCACTTCGCACCCGCGTGCTCCGCCTGCTTCAAGCCTCCATTTCACAGTTTCACCTTGCACCTTGGCACCCGTAAGATACACAGATTTACGTACAATTGAAAATTGAAATTTGAGTTGATTGGTTTTGTTGAATCATTTGATGATTGCTTGAAGTTTGTGTTTTTCATCCTTGCAGAGGCGAAAATTGATTTGTCCCCTCACTCCTCATCCCTGAATGGCTGAATTAGAATACCACGGTACACCTTCAGGCTTCAGCCATCTCTAGTTAGTCTGTTACTCTGTTATGAATTGAAATTTGGGTATTGTTGAAAATTGAAATTTGGGTATTGTTGAGTAGAAGTTGCTGAAGTTTGGGTATGAATGGATTGAAATTGCTGAAGTTTGGGAATTGTTGAATTGAAATTGTTGAAATTTTGGGTATTGTTGAGTAGAAGTTGCTGAAAGTTGGGTATTATTGAATTGAAATTGCTGAAATTTGGGAGTTGTTGAATTGAAATTGCTGAAATTTGGGTATTGTTG